AACAAATATAACAATTTAGAGAAGAGGAGAGAGATAGATAGAGGAAAGGACAAAAAGATATAGAGAAATAGAGTCCGATACTCGTTGGATATCGAGGGCAGCATGCAAGGCGTGAGATAAATGAAACGCTATCCAATTGATGAATTGATCTGACCTGTGTGTTTGCTCTGACCAAACTATCAGTCTCATTAGGGTGGCAACCTCTATTGATCACATTGATCTTTAAAACCTTTGCAACCGTCTTGTTTGCTGAGGCGCTACAAACCCTTCAAGACGGGTGAGTTTCTTCACTTTCTTCACGCCTTCCTAGCACAGCGCTGTGTGCAAACAAGGTCGCTGGATGGATGGGATAGTGGACAAGGGGAGGGAGGGAGGGATGGTAGATGATAATAAGGTATTCACTACAACTTGAGTATCTCCTTCACCTCCAAGCTAGTCTGACCCCCCCCCTCTCTCACACCGACTAGCAAAAATCTGAATAATGATAATGATTTTTATTCTTATGTGTGTATATTATATAGCTTATATCACATTATGATATAAGCATGTGTTCTTATGTGTGTATATAGCTTATGGCACATTATGATATAAGCATGTGTTCTTATGTGTAGCTACCACATTATGATATAAGCATGTGTTCTTACATGTGTATATATCTTACCACATTATGATATAAGCATGTGTTCTTATGTGTGTATATATAGCTTATATCACATTATGATATAATGTCTCTATGACTATAACTGTGAGCTTCCACAGGTCTTTGGATGATAATTACCCCAGCTATATTGCTCCGGCAACCATAGTGCTCTGTTCAATCAAGGAATAAATCCTACCAGATACCCACTTCCTACACCTGGGTCAAGTGTGGTAAATGTAGATCAATGCCAATGGATGTTGGTATTGCAGCGGTTTGAACCCTGTAACTTATGGTTTACAGTCTGGAGACTTACACACCACAGTAGACTACAACACCTCTACATAAGTTATCAGTTCTTTTCCCATCTAGATATTGTATAATGAAAAAGCAAGTATTGTTTTTAATAAAATATCACAAAAAATGGATCACATGGTTTATGGTGTGAGTCCTACCTGGCACTGTTACCCTTTCACAACACATTAATCGACATTTGCCAATCTCCAACCAGGTACAGTAAATGAAATGAAGTTAACCCTTAATGCTGCAATGTCTCGAACATCCCCTGGAGTGGATATATGCACAAGATAAATGAACATGTAGCTCTTACTAGTATTATCTATTTAATTGTATGAATGCCCTCTGAATAAAATATCGCCTGGCTATTTGGAAGCCACCTGACAAGTAAAAGCCTGTTTTAGATAGGAGCATCTTAACACCGCAAGCCATGATTGTTAGCATAATTGATCGAAACTGACCGGCATAATTATCTATAAACAATGTTTGCACCATATCCTGGCAATAAATTGTCATGTGATCTCATGTGATCTCATGTTGAGTTGCAGAGGTCAAAAGCTATCAGTAGCTTGATAAAAAATCAGTTTCACTTGTGATAAAAGTACTGTTAGATCATGAAAGTGAACATAATCTTATACAGATATTGCTCTCAATAGAAATGAATGCAAGCGTCATATATAAATAACTATAATTGCAGTATTGGTAAGCTGATGATACCAACATAACAGGTTCAAAGGAAGGCTGGAGAATTATAATAAAAAATAGAAAATCACAAAATCACAATAGTAGCAGTAATTACAAATTATTGATGTACATGTAAGAATTAGAAGGCTAGAAAAATCTAATGTTGTTGGCATGGAAAAGCAAAATCACTGAGAGAGAGGATGTTTGAAAACAAGCAGACAGAGATTAAAATAAATGTTTGGAGTGTAAGAAGGGCATTAACTCACATCATAACACAGAGGTAACGCCTCTCTGGTTCTGATGAGACAACAAAGATAATATATGAGATCGGGGAAAACAAAATAACATGGAGCGCCCATCAGCATGGTGTGTAGAGGCTCTGACAGGGAGCATCAACAAGACAGACCTCAAAGAGAAATAAGAGAGGAAGGGGAAAATGCAATCCCATGCAGAGATATGAAGCAGTACACTAGGTGTCCCCCATGGACCCACTGTTCATGAGTGTGGGGTTGAATTAACTAGGCCACGGCGGCCCCAAAATGAACCGAAATATAGCCGTCTACATGCAATCAGGCAGCTTCATTGAATGAGACAGGGATGGAGGAGATTAGTGAAGATAGGAAGATGGAGATGGGAAAGAGAGAGAGAGAGAGAGAGAGAGGGGGGATGAGGGAGTGAGAGAAGAGAGGGATAGAGAGGGACAGAGAGATAGTAATACAAGCAAACATAAAGAAAGAGATTGACAAATTGACAAAGAAATGGGTAGAGATGAAGAGAGGGATGGAGAGTGACAATACAGGAAGAGCATGAGCTGGGAAATAAAAAGTGGAAGGGGAGAGAGGGAGACAGAGAGAGAAAGAAGAAGGACAAGGTAATAATCAAATAGTTCAAGAGAACACAACATTTCAGAAAGAAAAGAGCATAGCTCCACCTCAAAACAAAAAAACAAGATAAGCAGATGCATCTGACTGCTATTATGAAATGAATGCATGAAGAGATGTCTATACAAGATTCATTTTGATGCAATTTCTTTCAGGATGCACATGTAAGTAGGTCACATTACGAGAGAAAAGACGTCATCCATGGATAATAGAAGGAATATGGAGATCGTAAGAGTGAAGACAAGAGGAGAAAGATGGACATTCAGCATCGAAATGAAGATGTTGCTACAGATAAAGTTGTTCAATTTGCAAGGAAAAACATAATATGGGGCTTGTAAACATCTCTATAGTAGGTTTCGAACAAAGCAATGTAATGCCAAAATGGAAATAGAGGCAGGAAGATAAATATTGTAACAAAACAATTCTTTTTACTTTTCTTAAACAGTTGCATTATTATGACATATCTTTAAGTAGTTGAATATTCACTGCATACCAAATTTTTTTCGGGATATTTGACATCACATGCTGTTATGTTTATCAAAAGTGCTACAAACACATGACTATATACAAGCACTTGCATGTTGCCCCATGACAAAGTATTTGGCAAGTACTTTGATTATCATTTAGCCTGGATCATGCTTTTCTGTAAATTAACTTAAAATAGAAAATTATGTCAACTGATGTAAGATTGGCTAATGCTCCATACTGATAAAAGGGAGTACATTACAGCCTGCATACCTCTACAACCAGAACATAATTTACGATGGGCCTAAGGGAAAGTGATACTATAATTATTGAGCTAATGAGTAATCAGGATATCTCAATAAATACAATCCAGGACAGGTTAATTACCGTAACACAAAACCAAACTCGAAGGCAGGTCTGGTCAAGAGCTCTGCATGGTAATGAGAGAAAATGAAATCTCACAGAATCAAACCAAGCTGACATGGAATGTTTAAACGTCAGTTGAAAATCGCCTTAATGATTCTCATAGAATGATTATGTAAGAGCAACAAGAATTAAGGATAACAAATAGCTGCATGTAGTTGTTCAACCACACGTGCATACAAATTATTCTTCTATTTACAAAATTTTTGGCTACATTCACCTGTATGTATTATTACTAGCAAAAAGTTTTTATTTGATTATATTTCACATATCTTAAAGAAAAAGGCCAGTTTTGGAAACGCCCCCCTCTCAAAAAATGAAATGGAAGCTCTTATTACCAATCATGTGAAAGAATATGTTTTGACTAATAGAGAAACCACCTACTAATTGATATATTTGGTAAAATATTATATCTACGTGGACCTGATAGATATTGCGCACGTGTCCCGTAGTCCCATCTACATATTTCTGTGTACAGTGCTTGTAACTTTACCAAAACTGGGCCAAATTTCTTATCATTTTGATGATTCCAGAACCTTGCAGTACACACCAATACTTATATTTTAGATGATCAACCTTTAAACAGTTCATAAATATTGTCAGCCACTTTTTTAATTCAAAATGAATTTGCTCAGCCAGAGCTCAAGTTTGGTTTTAAACAATAATATCACACCAAGAAATTAATAATACTGCTAATAAGAAGAATTTTGTTTACCCTGGGAAACCTCATCAGCATCAATGCTGTTCTTCCTGGGGGCCTGCGATCATTATTACCCCGGCAATTGTCAGTTTCCGTTTAACACCTGGGTGGAGAGTGACAAATGTGGATGTTTGTGCCAGGATAGGATTCAAACCCTCCACCCAAGGATTGAGAGTCAATTGAATGCACCACTACCAACAGCACCTCCGAATTGTAGATTGATAATAACCTATCGCAGGTGAAAATCCTTCAACAGCCACAAAAAAGTAAGGGAAAAGAAAGGTAGAGAATTAAAAGAAAATTCAATCTAAGCTGTAAAGTAGCCGTCAGTTTGGAGGCACTGCCATCAAGGAACACGTTCATATCTTCTGAAGATGAATCCACAAACAGGGATCGGCATGATGAGAAACGTTAATGGACAAACCACACATGCTACACACATGACTAAGCCAGAGGTAAACATACAGTAGGGTAAATAGTAAACAACAGCATGCTGGAGTGTGTGTGTTTGTGTGTGTGGGGACCATGTGTAAGAGTGAGTGAAAGTGAGAGAGAAATGGGGAGGAGAGAATGGGGAGGAGAGAATGGGGAGGAGAGATAGGAAATAAAGAGAGAAAGAGCAAAGAGGGAAGGAAAGGGTGAGAGAGAAAGAGGGAGGGAGGGACGAAGGGGAAGGGGAGGAGATGGAAGAGAGAGAGACAGACAGAGAAACAGAGAGCCAGTTCGACAGTCAAAATGTAGCCAAGACAGCTGTTTAATGAAAACAAATCAAAATATGACAGGATACAGAGAGGAGGGCATGATTCAACATGCTTTATGACAAAGTTTAAGAGATAAATACTATTATTTCAGTAGAAAAGGAAGAGAATGAAAGAACCTTCAAAACAAATATAGATCTTGTTTCTACACTTACATGTACACACTGCAGTTAACTCCGGACCATAAATAAGTAGTATCCAGCTTGGTAAACGGCCAATTCCGCTCTATATCTCCGTAAAGCACCAATGCCAAGAGTAGAAAATGCAATAACATCTGCCCTTATCGTCCGTCAGAAATCATTCTGCACTACAAGGATCCATTGGCAGGCAGGCAGACCCATTTGCTACGCTAAAATATACCCAAAACACGACGGACTGTCGGAGCGGCAGAACATCCCGCTGGCAAGTGAGTGCTGACAGAGAGAGCCTCAGAGAGGAAGACAGAGAGAGGGTCTTGTGTGTGTGAGTGTATGACAGAGAGACAGAGTGAGTCACAGAGAGAGAGAGAGAGAGAGAGAGTGAAGGGGTGGGAGTGTGCAGTTTACGGGGTAGCGTGAAAGTGTAGAGTAAATGTACATGGGTATTTAAACCTGCATTAATACTTGCTGAGAGAGCCTCGTTGGCTATTTGGGTCGAGAGCCCAGTAATATACCCTCCTCCACAAGCAAGCAAGCAAGCAAGCAAGCAAGCAGGCAGAGAGGCAGGGAGGCAGGTAGGCTGGCATTGGCATTGGCATGCATCAAGGTTCGTTATTTGCCTTGCAAATGCAATCAAATTTTTACACATTATCATGTGTAATGTATATGCCTGGTTTGTGTCTACAAGCGTGAGGGTGTGTTTGGGAGAGACAAAGGTTCCAGGAATTCGTTATTGCCATTTAGTCAGGTGAACATGAGACCCAAGGTGAATTAAAAACACATAACAGGGTGAAAAGATTGATGAGTTATGAATTTGGAAATGCAACACATTTCATATGAACTCAATAAGATGAATAACTTATCTAGAATACTGTCAATGTTAATATTTGATGCTTCTTTTTAATACTTACAGGTAAAGTTCTAAAATTTGCAACATACTCTCTCTCTCAAAAATAAATTCTCTTTCTACTTAGATACTTGAATAATGTAATCCTCCTAAATGAAAGCCATGACAATATAGAATCTCCATATTGTGATTCACACTAAACAAAAAGATCACAATTTTGAAGACAATCCTCAAAAGTATACCAGCCAATTTTACAAATTATTGTTGTTGTTGTTTTTGTTTTTTTAATATGAAGCTTTATAATTTTCAAAAAGGTCTTCAATGTTCTTCAAGGTCTTCAAGGGCATTTTTACATTCCTATGGTCTCCTCCCCCACGTCCTCTCTACACAGCTTACACTTATTAAACAACCTTCCATGTCAAATCAAACTGTAAAACTGAGTAAAAGTCTTTTATTTTATGTGTTTTGCATTGTCTTGAAGAACTTTTATCAATATCATCCATGCTATCAGAGCATAATGTACTCCTCCATCAAAAATCATGATTCATTTATGACTCTTCAAATATAATATTCATTCCCCCGTTGTCTATGCGCTGCAATAAAAACGGAATTCCACTACATGCCATTCATCACGACGTCGTCTGTCCTCAGTCCATTAATTCTTGAAATATCATTATGCGTTGTGCATTATTCATGGGGATGATGGGAGATATGACTTTGGCTTTGAAATAGACCAGGCAGAGAGTAAATAAGTGAATCAATAATTGATTGCATAAAGTCAGGGAGCATTTATCACGTAATCCTCCTAGTCATTGAATATTCTCCAGTAATTCCATTCATTTTCCCCCTCCATATTGTATACAATGTACCCATATGTCCTAGGTCTGGACAGGTTGGTTGCAATCCAGATCATTTTCAAGTAGTAAAATGGACAATTTTTCATTTAAGTTTAAATGATGCTTACATACACTTAAAATTGTATAACAGAAAATAAATGTGGAACATACTACAGCATTAATACAATATACTTGATGCAAGGATATTATAAAATCAAATGGTTTACCGGTATATAATTTTGCAATGTAACCCATATGTTCATTCAGAAGAAATAGCCATACATGCATGTAGCTAAAGCCTCGGTCACAAATGCCATTAGGAACTGCTACCAACGCTGTATGAATGATTTTAAGACAATGGAAATTCGGGAATACAATGGAAAAACAGGGAGATTCGTACGAAATTATCGTTCGTACGAACCTTTGTGACCGTAGCTTTAGGTAGCAAGTAAAGAACATGATGAGAAATCTTCAACAAAGAAACGAAGAGTCACCTTCCTCACTTCCATTCAATCACACCACATAATATTATTTCCTGCCATTTATATTCCCTTAACACCCCACCTCCAACCCCTTCCCCCCCCCCCCCCAGTCCCGTACACACAGTAAACACTTGCAAGGATAGATACAAATGTTAACCTAGCTCACCTCTCAGTTGATGAATACTCACAGAGGGCACAAAGTTAAAACACACAATGCCCAGGTCTCATTCCCGATGCTAAGCATGTATCCCAATACACGTTACAAGAGAGAGAGACAAATAACCCAATCTTTGCTCCAAGACCATCCATCCGCCTGCCTTCCTTCCACCACCGAGATGCTCATTCGTTCGGCGCAAAATCAATCAGGGAGCATCGGGGAGCATATTTTCACGAGAGCCAGGCAAACAGTGGCAACAAGTTCAGCGAGTTCTAATGCGCACAATCAATTCAACCGTGCTCGCTCTCTCTCTCCCTCTCTCTCTCTCCCTCCCTCTCTCTCTCTCTCCTTCCCATCGGCAGCAATTTTCCCTTTCTCTCTCCTGAATGCTTTTGTGTGTTTTGGAGTAACTCTGCAAATACCAGCAACTTGTCTGAGGATGAGCTCCTAATATTGAATGTTCAATGTCAGTTATTATATTGCTCTCTCCTTACACTGTGTTGTATTGACATGTATATACTCAGTGCATAAATGCGGCGTATCGATTGCCAGGGAGGGCCGTAGTACCAGGTCTTGTGACATATTAAGGGTTTCTTTCAGAGTTAATAACTGCCTGCCCCTTCCTTTTCAAAGAATATACACTACCTCCTTTTAAAAACAAGTCGAAAAGGCAAGGTTTTCTATGAACTTGTAAAAATATGATCTACATTGTCTACTTGATTGTTGACCATCCCTTGTTGCAGCACTAATATTTAAATAGATGCTAAATGCACTAAAACTTGCATAAACTTTTCAGCATATCAAGCATTTTCAGAAATTTACTTTTATTAATACTAAGAATTTTAAGTACTTACAAGAGACCTGTGGAGTACTGCAATTTATTTAGAACCTATAATGCCATCATATTTCATGCCCCTAATATCATTTCATTTGTCGGTTCTCACAAAAAATGTTTTCTTTGTTGCTTCTCAACAATTGCAGCAGAACATTGAATTCCTGTTCTCAATGTAGCACGCTATAAATCATTCTTCTAATGGCCGTCCAATTGATAAAATCAGCTTCATTTTCATTTTCTAAAGAAATAATTCAAAGGTACTCGTACATGATTCATGAATGTTAACAGCTCATGTATATTGTAACATAAATGAATTCTGAAGGACGCCGATTATGAAATGTGCCATATCGATATTTTGATGTACTTCCATAATAGAAATAACGAAACATTCGCCAATATCTAATGAAACATGCTCATGATCAAGATCCTTATTTTGTTGACCTTCTATCTTCCAGCCAAACGAGATTCAATACAATTTTTCTGGCCTTCAGTTGCCCGGGAGACTAAGGGGGAAAAAACGAGTTGTCAATTCGTACTCTTATTTTACAATATCTGGCTGGAAACAAAGCACCCCGTTTCCTCCTCACAACAAATGATCGCTATTCACATAAGTTGCTCTAAGGTTGAAAAATAAGAGTCGCCTTTATCAATTTAGAGTTGTTAATTTCCCATCGATTGAATTGCGACTGAAAGATTGTGACGTCAACACCTACGCAAGCGAGGGACAAGGAAAAATGGTTTTGCCTTCTGGATGTACTCCAAATTACAAACCGGAATATTGTCCCTCGTCAAATTACGGGAAAGGCAGAAGAAATTGCTGATGATTGTATTACAAATTACAAAGAAAACCTCTACCTTGTCAAATGAGTTGGGAAAATTAAGAATATTGTTTTTCCGTCTTGGTTTTCTTCAACCCATCTTCCATTTTTGTCGTCATCAATCTTGTATTCATCTCAAAATTATCAAAATATAATCATATTATCTTAAGATGTGGAAGAGAGGATCTCCCAGAATGCACAATTGACAGACATCAATGGAGCCATATTAACAAACACACAAAGCCTTTCCTCTGTATTTGAAATTCTGAACATTACATTTCTTCTTTATTTTTGAAAAAATGATCTAAAAATGACAAAATAGTGAACAGTTATGTTCCTTCTGTTAATCTGTACTTTAGTATTAGGAGTAATACTCAATTCCAACTTTTTGCTTCCAGATGTCAACTGCATAGATGTATGCAACCACCTATACGTTGAGGGGAGACACGTTGGTTCAGTGGTATGATGGATCCAAAACCACAAGTTCAAAATGAAGTTGTATGCTTTCTTAGCAGTCAGGAAAAAACAAACCATCAAGTTTAGATTTGTTTATTGCTTATGTCAATCAAAAGACCACCTCTGGGTGTCCTTCTAGATAGCCTCCACAGGGTTAATAATGACACTAATACCTGATCACATAAGTGATTGTTATAGCCCTCTATGTAATTCATTAACTAAAACCACAACATGCCCATACGATATTCATGTGGATAATCAGAACCACAACCGTTTATCTGATTAGAATCATATGAACAATTGATAAAGACAATATCCGTCATTCAAAATGTTCACCTGTTTACTTATACATGTACTACACATATGTACATTTCCAGTGAGATTCCATGCAAAATATTGGGGAAAAGCTGATTGCACACTGTTAACCAGCAACAACAAATGTATTCTAAACAAACATTGGAGAATCAATGAATATATATGGAAGATGAAGCTGACATGTGCAGAGCAAATTGGTCTATAATGAGCAAATATTCAAACATGTTCAATTGCAAGTTGGAAGGAGTATGAGCTGATTCACACAGACAGAGCTGATAGTCCCTTGTGGCTGGCCACGGGTCCAGAATATGCTTAAGGGTTCTAAGGATCTTTAATATTTCATAAATACTTTTGGTACTCTAGACCGGTCACTGACTCTGACACTTGTTATTTTCAATTGTAATTGGTATTTTCTGCCTCTTGACATATGAAAAACCCTTGTGGACAACCCTGTATATTAAAGGTGCATTTCAAGACTGTATAGTTCATCTCTTAAAGCATAGACTTCATTTGTATATAAAGGACGCGTGATAATGAGCATGGAATGGGTGCATGCAAGTACAAAAGTACCTCCTGTACTTTCTTTTCTGCCATTCTCTGAGCCAACACGAAGACCTACCGCACGTTGTGAGAAGATTCATGACTTCTCTATCATCAAGAGCGTCTGCGTACCTACATCATGCCATCTCATAATTACAATACAACTGCCATGTGTGCCTTGATCCAATGACGACGTCACGCAAGTCCACCGAAAGACCTGATGCTAGCAAGTGAGGGAGACAGCCTTGCGACGACGGATGATAAATTGCCCTCATCTATATTTCATGCAAATTAAACGAGGCTGTGACACCGCTGGCATGAGCAAGAAAGGGGGATGAGAAAGTGACAGCGCATTTGGCCAACACAATTAGATTGCATTAAAATTAATGACAAATGAATATCAGATACCATTTATAACTGATCAGTAGTATCCTGTTTGAATAAGGAGCCCTTTTTTCCTCTCTTCCTCTCTTCCTGATTATTCTATACCAGTCTTCTCCGTTGTTACTCATTGTTGTTGCCAATGAAATTAATTCAGTCTAGAGTATCAAAAGTAAGAATCGTTGCTTCTATTAAACTGGGCCAGGCTTTCTTGTATATCACAAAGGTATACAAAATGAGAACTGTTGTCAAATATGTTAGAGTGATTTTGCATTTTGCAGTATCATTTCTCTTGTATAGTGTCAGAACTTGGG